GCAATACAACAGCTAACAGCCTGGTGTCATTAATCTACCTGTTTTCACATGGAACCTGGAACCTATTAAGAGTTCTGTAAGAAATCTTAAAAGTAAGAAGTCTTAGCTTTTACAGAGAAAAGTTAACACTCAGACCTGATAGCTAAAAGGCTTGGCCTCCTTAAYCTGCCAAAAATATCTCATTAGTCAGTTTTCCCGCATTGCTGTGATAGTTCTTTATTGTTTGTGGACTAGAGGGTTTCCTCAGGAACTGTGTTCTTCCAGAGAYTGCCAAAAGAAACACTTGCTGTGTGGATAAGGAGGGCAATCAGTGAGARTGGGGTAATGCCAAATGTGCCCACAGATGCACTCCTGAACCCTCACTGCAAACAAAACAAAAGCAGAAGGACAGGTGCATAATCACCTTGTTGAATATAAAATTGAAATAACTATGCACTGCTGAACTGTTTGGCTTTCAGCTCCAGCTCCTGCAGGCGTTTCAGGTTCCCTTTGAGCCGTTKTGTCGTAAAGGAAGGGCCACTGCATTCTTGCAGAATGTTTTGGCTGCATTGCAACAAATCTGGTTACTGATGCCCAGGCATACTTTGATTGATGCGCAGATCAAATGACTGTTGGGAGTGGCTTTTGGGGTGACGTCCCACGTACAATGATGTCAGCAAAAGATTTTAAAAAATTCAGGTGTGGCACAATCTGCCAATTAAACTGATTAGTGCTCTGGCTGAGTCCTGAGAAGGAGCTCTGACTACAGCCCTGCTTGCTGAAGTCTTTTATTTAGTGCCTTTGGCTCACATTGTATGAGACTTTTACCGAGTGCCTTCACTGCAGGGTGCTGTAAATTGAGGTAGGATACCATACCAAGGGCTGTGTGCTAATTCTCTTGCTATCCTGGGAAGTCTGATACTGGCTCACAAATGTCTCTGACCGCTTGGAAGCTGTGACACTGGAAGAGGTCCTGCGACTCCCGTGGGATCGGGATGGAGTGCATCGCTGCTTTGTTGGCAGAAGTGAAAGCTAGCCAGGAGGCAATGCAGGCTGGGCAGAAGGCACTAAAGCATGATGTGGAAACATCTCAGAAGGAAATCAGAACGGTGTTGGCATTGCAGAGGAGCCAGCAACAGGTGAAAGAAGATCTCAAAGCAGAGGTGAAGTCCAGTCACTTGGATATAAGAACTGTACTTGAGGAAATCCARCGAGTAAGAGAAGAAATGGAAGCTCGATTAAATACTCAGGCTGATCTGGTCTTACTGATCAAAGAAGTGAGCACCAATTTAACATGTGTAGACAAGGCTTTCCAGAAAATGGAGGAGAGGCAGAAAGTTTTTACCAGCCTGCATCTTCCCACAAGAGAAAATGTTGAGCAAGGATTTTTCTTTGAAAAATGCTTACACCAGACGCACATGGGTTTTGAAAGACCTGTGGAAGCTAACAATTTGGATGAGGAATGTGAAAAGACAGTGCTTGGGGGTAAGACAATTGTGACTGCAAGTGTGAGAAGAGAAGTAAGGTTGTTTCTAYTTGTGCTTGTCAAGAAATTTGTTTATGCTATTTGAAATGCTTTTAAGAYATGTAATTTTTTTTCAGAAATTGAATCATTTGCTTAAAATAATTTCTTGTTAGATAACACTACACATACCTTCCTAGTACATGATATGCAAAGGAAGGCTTTGATTTTCTGGTAATCCAGCAAAAATGCACAATATAGGGAGGCTCAGGAAACCAGCAACGCAATGCAAGCACTGAGGTAGCCAGCCAGATAAATACTCTGTCAGGTCCTGGGCACAACCCCAGCATCTAAATGTAAGTTTATGGAACACACCCTCTGTACTGGCAGTTACGTATTTCTTGCTTTAGAATGGCTGTTAACTAAAGAAGCTATGTATGGGAAACAGTTTGCTTTATGACAARGCTTAGAATGGGTTTAGTGTCCACTCCAGTGAACTAGAGTTGCTTTCTGTGCCATCCCTATAATGACTGTAGAGGGAGTGAGAGGATTTGCGGATCTTTTTCAAGATCCAAATGAAATCTCTGATTGATTCAACGATCAAAAGGCTTAGTCTTTGCAAAATCACTGCTAATATTTTTTTCTTAACTAGTATGAAGGACAGGATTTTAGATGGTGATTCTGTCCAGTTACTGGGCTGTGTGTACTGGGCTCCAGTTACTGGGCTACAGTACTTGCAAATCTGATTTTTAGTCTTTCARTATTGAACTTCTCAACTACATTGGGTAAAGTGGTTTTGAGCCTGTTGGAGAGAGTCCAGAACCTAATTTAAAGGTGGAAATTGTTCTGCTTTACAATGCTAACTGTATAAAGGTGGCTGGTAAACAGGCCAAAGTGAGAAGGACTTGGGCTGGTAACCRGTAGTGTCTTTAAATTAGACTCTGTCATTGATGTGGTGATATCAGTAATCAGACTCATGACAGTTTTGTCTTAATGAAAGCAGGGCCTTTGTTTTGACACTACAGCATGCCTTCCATACAAATCTGGAAATGATCTGTCATTGCCCAGAGGTACGCAGGCCATAAATAAACATCGTAGTGTCAGTGGTGTTAATCTATAGAGGCAGTTCATACTACAGAGGGTTCATGCTTTTCAGCATTTGAAGTGGCTGTGTATAGTACATGTCTATGATAAAATTGCCAACAGGAATGTCACTGAGTTTCACTTCATGCATGTATTTTGTTCAGCTTTTTTTAGTATAGTATCGAGGGCTGGCTTGTTTGGATGCTTGAATGAGCTTCTTGGAAGACACTTGGTGGTCTGGGCAGCAGGATAAAAGCAGCAGTATGAAACAGATAAAGTGATAAGGGCTGGCTGAACTCTGGAAACATGGCTAATTGGAGCCTTTTGTCATTTGTGGTTAGCTGTTGTATCACTGTATTTAAATGAAATTTCATTAGGTAACTGTGTTGTAATTTTTTTTTCCCAAAGTAAAAACTTTCTGCACCCACTTGTTCAAGTTTAACACCGCTTTGTCAGGGTCCTAGAAATAGTTGTAAAACTAATTTCAAATATTTAATTAAATTGTGACATTAGGGTCTGTATCAGTGAATTTACCCAATACTCTTATATTATTCTAGTTTTCTATTTGTTGTAAGTGGAGCATTCAGGAAGGGAGGTGGAATGTTTGAGAGAGTAGGAGTATGTAAGCCGATATGGAAGGGAAGAACKGACTGTACATGTTTATTCTCTAGTCCCTGCTGGTTTTTCCCCATTTCTTCTTGATTATTATCTCTTGTGATTTTTGAAGGTGCTTCAGAAGGTAACCAGTAGTTTCTTACACACAGTACTGTCCATAAGATTGCTGAAAATTTGACRTGGTTGCTCTCAGTTGTGAACTTGGATTTGTGTAAAAATGTCTACCCAAAAGACATTGTTATGTCTGCACAGYGAGGAGAGAAGTGGCCATGTTAGGCAAATGGTGGCGAAAATAACTGGAACTTGCAGACAAGCTCGATACTTCTGTCATACAAATTTGTATTTTGWTTTGGGTTGATGATGGTATGTTTGTAACTAAAATATACCCTTTAACAGTCTGCATATCTGAGCAGAAGTGTAGGGAAATCTCCAAGGGCGCAAGGGCATCTGAACATGTTAAAGCAATATGCTGAAAATTCTCTAACTAGCAGAAAATCTTGCCCAGAGAGGATATATTTGGAAAATTAATAGGCTCAGGAGGCACTTTTTACCAGGTGCAGTAAGAAAGGCAGAGAGGACGTTAGTGTTTTGAACAGGAAAATTGTTTTCAAACACTTCTAAAACAAATGAAGACTGTGGAAAACTGGTGTATTAATGCAATAATTGATCTGTCAGTCTGACTGACATTAACTGAATYGAATATTTTGTTTTTAATACAGTCTCCAGTTGTGAGATTGAACCTTACACTGCTGGGACGATTCTAGGGTCATTTGACAACCTTCAAACCAAGTGCYTGGGATTCAGAAAGGATTGTCTTGTTAGTTAGTTTGTTCCCTGTTTTTGCCACGTGTTCCTATTTTTCTTTTCTCCAGATCTCACCTCTCAGGTTTTTTCACTCTATCATGAAGAAATCTTGTTAAGTTGAAACTGTGCAAAGTAATCTTCTTAGATGTCTTCACTAAATTGCCAAGGGATATTTATCTATTGCATCAACCTTTTATTGCAGAAGTGTTTACTCATTCCCTTTTGTGATCAAGGGGGGAAGACTGGCCCTATCTGCACAGCAGTATTGTACTCCCTTTCCAGTCTGAAGGCAGCAGAGACACCTGTAACCTATACAGCATTTACAAGTCAAGTGCTGGATTATGTAATCTGATTTCYTGTGACGTGAGATGATTGTGTGCTATGAAAGCATTGAGGTTGCCACATAAGTAAGAATATTAAATCAACAATGTAATTTCAGGACTGTAATATATATTGAAATACATTGCATTTTAGAGTCTTTTTAAAGTCTTGTCCTTGTGACTCAAAATTGCTGGCACTCAGAAATGCTGCAAGACCTCTAGTTAATAAAGTTCAGGCCTGAGCTGYAGAGAGGGATGCTTTTGCAATTAAAATTGTAAAAGGAAGAAAAATAACAAAGGAAATGCAGAGAAAATGGTTTTGTATTCAGCAGTACTTTAGTGTGCAGGAAATAGGAAATCTCTGTTGCACACAAAAGTGGACAAATCTCATGTTAGAAATAATTTACTGACCAGGTAGGATGACAGGGATCTTGCATTTCATAAAAGTATTTGTTCAAAGCACCATGTGARGAGTATGCGAGAAGTATGCATCACTGAATACGTGAAAGTGAGGATGAAGTGCAAAACATTATGTCCAAGCTTATGGTGTTAGGAATTGACCTGACAGATTGATAAGAGTCTGCTCTGCAGTGCTACTGAACTAACCCTTTCTCCTAGTTGGTATTTTAGCGAGTGTGTATAGGAACATATAGCTACTTTCTTTTGCACCTGACCTTTATGTTCTTGTGAGGTTTTAGCATGACGTGCATATTAATTTGTTGTTGTTGTTGTCTTAGTTGACAAGGGCAAGCAGCGGAGTCCCAAGAGCTCGTGCATACGGACTCAAGCCTCCACAGATGCACGTCCACCTGGCACAAAAGCAGCTGAGTTGATACAGTACAAAACAAAATGTGAGACCCAAAGTGGAATCATCCTGCAGCTGAAAAAATTCCTGACATCCAGTAACCAGAARTTCGAAGCATTAACAGTTGTCATCCAGCACCTGCAGTCTGAGGTAAAATCATACAGCTCATCAATTTTGGCATTAATTTTTTTAACTCTTCTCAACAAGGGCTTCAGAAAATTTTAATGCACTGATACCTAAATTTTGTGTTTCTGTTGCAGCGATTTCTGTTTTCCTGTGGAGGTTATGCTTCTAGCATCAGTTGGATAGGAAAAGAATTAAACCCATGACAGTGTGCGTTATGGCCTTTAAAGCTTYACATGCTTTTTAGAGTTTTTAAGTGTTTGTAGTCAGAGGGTCCTTCAGGGTTGAATAGCTTTCCGAGTATGTACTTCAAGTTCTGCCCTTGTAGGAAAGACTAGTTTAATCAGATAATCTGTTGAATAATAATGGCCTTTGTTATCTGACATTGGATGGAAGAGTATTTAAGGGGTAGATATGTTTTTGAGCTACTCAAAAACATATCTGTGACAGCTGCRTTGTCACAGTTTTATTTATTGAACCCTGCACTGTTGGTGGTGTCTTAAATTGTTAATAAAAATATAGAAATGCACCTGGAATTATGGAGTGGAATTAATGTGGTTTAATTTTTCTAGTCTGTTTGAAATACATAATGACCTAATCAGTTTCATACTACACTAGAAACTTTTGGTCTGCTTTGAAAACTTCTGAGAAAAGAAAAATCTGAAGTCAAGGAAATTATAACAGTTATGAATTTGTACTGCACAGCTGATGCAGGGTTTAGTAGCCATTTCTGTTGCATTTACAACTAATGTTCTAAGACTGGTATCAATTTCATTTCAACTTTTCTGATACATGGTGATTTTACAGTCTGATATACAAAAAAGCAGCTAATTTGTCTTAGTATGCTGACAGAAATGTAACATTCTCATGGGATAGTATCTGCTTACTCTCATTTAATCTAAAAATAAAGCATTTATCTCCTAGTCTGGTTCAACTCTAAGGGCAGTGGCTCTTAGCCAGTTTTCTGGGATTGGTTGGTTGGGTTTTTTTAAATTCTTGGTTGGAACACCTTTCTCTGCTAAGGAACTAGTTTGAGATCTTCAAAGCAATTTGATACAGGGTTTTGGATGCCTGTCACGTAATGTGATATTGTGAAATTTATATGTGAAAATCTCACTGACAAACTTATGTGCAATCTTTTAATTACTGTATAATAAGCACATTGATTTTTTTTGGTAACTCTTACAATTAAATGTCTTGGCCTAGTTTCTTATCTCAAATACTTTGTATTGCAACATTTAAAATTCACAAATACTTTATAAATGTCATGTTTAGTGAGAAGAAGCCCATCATACTAATTTGCTTCTTCCAGGCTGTTCTAAAAGTTGCTGTAGCCTAAATGCGGGTTTTTAAAAATAGTGGGGGGTTTAATTAAGGGAAAAGCAATCTTGAAGATGGAGGAAAAAACTGCATTGAAGAAACTAGTGATTTTGCTCCTTATTCCTCTTTGTTACTCTTTTGTAGATGGAAAGAAAAAAAAAAAAACTCTGTCAAATTTTATAAAAYTAATAATCTTAGACAGTTAAGTCTGAGCACATTAAATTGAGCTAGATATGACACAGTGATGTATTTTCATACCAGTTATTGATTTTGAGGTWGCTCTCTATTTTCCTGAGATAAGACAATACTTCCTGAAGACTCACTGCCTTACTCTTGTGAACATGCTATAGGGATGAGAAAGATTTTTCTGTCATGGTGCTGTAAGAAATATGTAGAGTCTGTTAGTTAGCTGGGAGAAATATCCTGAAGGATTTCAGTCTTCTAGGGAACGTCGTGAAGACTAGTTTTTGTTTTTTGTTCATTTGTTTGGGGCTTTTACCTTTAGGGTGAGGTGTGGTAATTAATTAGTTAATTAAGTATAGCTAACTTAATCTTAGCTGGCCRTACAATTATTTTTCTGAGGTATCCCTTGGGGACCCCTTTTGATGTAGTTTTCAGACTCTGGATTATCCAAACTCAGGAAGAAACTTCAGGTTAGGCTTTAGCTCATGAGATAGGGTTTCACAAGTTAACTAATTCAGAGCCAGCTGAAAGTAGCTTCAGGTTCTCTGGTTTAAAAAAAAATTAAAATCATGCTTAGCTGATTACATGAGGAACAAAGCTGTGCTTCCATTCTTCCCACTAGAGCAAGTGTGAAGTGACACGATACAGCCTAAGAAACAGTTTGCTGGAACCAGAGGGAGGACCTACTCTGCACTCCTCTGATGCTGGTCTGTCCCTACAGAAGGCCGATTCAGCCTGCCACTGTCAGAAAGTTAAACCAGCCAAAGAGCATTTCTTTGCCAGGTGGTGACGTGGACTGTCCTAATGTGTGGTCAGAGGCRGTGCGAGGGTGAGATGGGGTCAAGRACAGGCTGCCTGGTCAAATGGAGTAAWGCACTGGAATGAGCACTTGGGTCACTTCAAGGCTGAGCAGCCCAGCCTGAGCCTCTTGGCAAAATCTGCTCCAGTCTCTCCAGCTTTCCCTCCAAAGCTGAAGTTACTGGGATRTGATTTAGCTGTTAGATTTGTTTGGTTCTACTGTCGTGATTTTGGGTTCTTTTTCCCCAAGAGTTCCCAATGTATTTCTGCTCAAAACTTTCAAGTTGTTTCTTATGAGCTCATAAATGAGCTCATGAAATGGAATATAGCTGCAAACAAAATCAGGWCTTGCTGGCAATGACTTATGTCAAAAATGCAGCCAGGCCGTCTGGAGTGAAGGTGAGAGGCTGCTGTCAAAGGGTTAAATGGGATTGAGCAATGCTGCTCTGCTGTTTCTAGCTGAGCAGGAATCTTTCAAAAAACACTGCCGGAGTTCAAACCTGTTTGTTGCAAGAGTTACCTTGGAGCTGTCAATAGTAACAGCTGCGTCTGATAAAACCTTCCCACTTGATCTGTCAGTGTTTCTTTAGGGAGGTGGGGCTGTCTGTRCTTAGCTACCTTCACTAAGACTCTTCAGAGTTTAAAAACGCTGAAAAMGTAATTTCTACCTTGCAGGAGCTATTGTTGCACTGTGGTAATGCTAGACGGAAAACTTTTGGCATCCAGAATATCTGATGGCAGTGAACAGTATGGCTCATGAGAACAGAGAGTTTTTCCATTGTTGGACAGCTGTGTGTGCTGGCAGTGATAGGAACACAAGTCAAACCGCACAGTAATCACAAAAGCAAGTTGAGTCTTTCTAGACTACTSTGCTTCCCCCGATCCTCTGGTAATTCCTGTTACTTCATGACTATTTTCCTGTTTTTTAAGTTCAAACAAGAAACAAAAAATGAGGCAGTACAGAGGAAATGGTGAAATTGGCCATTCACAATAAGTGCATGAAGTGCCAAGGAAAGCTGTTTTCCATTACCRTTCAACTGCATTGAGGTCTGAAATTTGCACTACTGCATTTGAGTTGATCTTTTAACTTCCACTGGTGTTCATTTTGAATTTATTACTTGTCCCTTCAGTAACAGATCTGTTCACAGAGGCTTTARATACATGGTTAGCATGTCAGTGATAAGTCAGGCTGGCAATGCCACTCTTGCAACCCTGCTCTCTCTCCCCTAGCCCTCGTGTCTGCTTGGGCTTCTTTGGGAAGCCAGTTCAGGCATCCAGTCAGGAAGGGGAAGAAAGTATTATGGGTCTAGTTTTACAGGTCTGTCTTTGTTGAAAGTATTATGAGTATGCCCCATGCAGTGGTTCACTGTGGGAAGAAGTGGGAGTGAAGAACTGCCAGTGCTGGGGTGGGGTGGGAATGTGTGCCTGAGAGGACTGCAGCTGTGTCTAGGAGCCAGATGCTCCCTTGGGAAGCAAAACACATCAGCAYGTCACCTGCTGATGAGGCTGAGGCTGTTGCAGCTCCTGCCTGAGCCTCTACATCTTGCCTCCCGAGAAGGGCTCAACTCCCTCTGCTACCTCAGGACTGCCCCCCAATGCTYTGTGAGCCCTGCAGCTGGGCTGTTTGAGCCTCCAACTCACTGCTGTGTATAAACTACATCTTTGGGAGCGGAGGGTGATTGTTTCAGCAATGTGTTACTAGCTTGGTTTTAAATCACGTTTTACATTTGTCTATGTAAGGAAGATTTAGTGGTCAAAGGAAAGGGTAGCGTGTAATTAGAGTTACTTGAATGGCTTTGTAACTGTTAAAAGTGTGAGTTGACAGCTACTGCCTTTTCATCCTCTCATTTTRGTGCATAAACTGCCACATTCAAAACTACTACCCAAGCTGTGTAAAAAAATTTATACGGCARAATGTTTAACTTTTACAAATATTCATTTTTATTCTTCAGGTTTAATAATCTAATTAAGTATCTCAGTAATTCTCCACAGATTCTGCTATAGAAATAAGCTTCAAATTTGTATCTGTGAGACAGAATACTATGAAAAGTATTTCAGAAATAAAAGGAAACTCAGTTTCAAACTATTTTGCTTCTCTTGGTACGGTTATGGGAAGACTGCATTTACAGTTCATACTTGGGAATGTTGTGGTGCCATCTTCAAGAAGTTTCTTAGTAGAGGAAAAGGCCCTTTGWGAGGCTATAGAGCCCTGACAATAATATGGGGATAAGACTAATTGTGGATGTGACACAGGAAACAACATGAGGAATGTGCTAGAAATTGTGTGGCTGAACAGTCTTCAGCATTTCTAGGTGGAAATAGAAATTAACCATTAGTATATGACYTGTTGTAACTGGCATTTCCTGACATATATGTGACTGTAAGAGTTGAGATATTAGTTTCCTTGGGAACTTAGCAGTTTAAAAAGAATGTTTTTCTTCCATTTTGGAATACATGACTATGTGTATCAGAAATGTTTGTCCTGGCCTTTCTGGAAGTTCGGCAGGAAATGTTTATATTTATCAAATGAGAAATGCACATCTARGTTAAGGAGCAGAAGTGCACATTGCATCACTAAACCCCAAGAGTTTTGGAACAGTCATATCTTTTGACCTATAAGTCCTGTTGCTTAGAGCAGCTGTCTTTGAGTAAAGTTTTTAGTTTTGATCATCTAGAACCTAACATCAAACTTGGCCAATGTTCATGACAATTTTCATACCAGGTGT